GCCAGCGCCCAAAACATCTGGCCTGCCGTACACCGTGCTCACTGCCGCCGGATCGACGGCGGTGGCGGCGTCAAGGGCTGCCGCGTCAGCGGGTACGGCATCATCATTCACAGTTGGGATATCCGCCACATGGTCGTCGTACATTACACCCGGCAGTAGTTGACCGCCTGCGTCAGCGGCGACATGTACGTCACCCTCCCGTATCGCACCGCTGCCAGAACCGCAGCTGGCTTCGGCTGCCGCCGCCGCCCCGGAATGCACCGCCGCTATTGCTGCTACAGCTGCTCCCGCCGCTGCCGCCGCCCCACGCTGCACCTTGATGTCGGTCCTGATGGGCCCTACAACTGCGTCAGCTGCCACCTCGTCGATGACCTCCCAGGCAGTAGCAGCGGCCCCTTCAGCGGCGGCAGCCGCTACAGCCTCCTCAGCCGCCACAGTGGACGCGCCGCCGCCCAACACGGCTACTGCCCAAGCACCGGAGCCTCCAACCGCCCAACACTGAGAACCCTGTGCAGCGCCCACGGGTGCGACATCGCCACTGACGGCAGTAGCAGCCGCCGCAGTAGCAGCATTGGCCGCGACCCCGCCGGGAGCAGCACCACGAGCACCGGTCACGGCCCCCTCGGCAGTAGCACCGGCAGTAGCAGTGAAAGCAGCAACGGCGCCACTGGCAACGGCGCCGGCAGGCAAGATCTCCCTCTGGTGCGATGAAACTGCAACATCCCGACTCTCCCGCTGCTGCTGCTGCTGCTGCTGCTGCTGTAACTCCAGGAGGCTGCCATCGGCAACTGTCTCAGCCGCCGCCATCGCTGTCCGCAACCCAGGCTCGGACTGCTCTGGGGTTGACTTCAGAAGTAGCTGCTGCTGCTGCTGTTGCTGCTGCTGTTGCTGCTGCTGTTGCTGCTGCGGTGGCACTGGCGGCAGTGATGACGGCGACGGCGGCGGCGGCGGCTTCAATGCCTCTTCCGTCTGCTGCGGTAGAGGTGAGTGTGGTAAGGGGGGCAGCGGCGGCTGATCCAAGAGCTGTGTCTCCTGCCCCAGCGCCAAGTCGTTTTGGTGCTGCTTCTGCTGCGGCTGTTGCGGCAGCGGTAGCGCTGGCGCCAGTAGTCCCTGTAACCCCGGCTGCTGCTGCTGCTGTAGTTGCGCAGGCGCCTGCAGCTGCGGAGGCTCCGCCGATTGTTGTTGTTGGTCGTGGTGCTGCTGCTGCAGTGGCAACGGTGGGGGCGGCTCCAGTACCTCCGAAGGCTGCTGCAGCTCTAGCTGCTGTTGCTGCTTGTGTTGCTGCCCATTATGCTGCTGCTGATGATGAGTATAAGGCAGAGGCAGCGGCGCCGGCGGCGACGGAGGCACGTGCAACGTTAGCGGCTGGTCTTGCCGCTGCAGTACTGCATCCGCAAGCTGCCATTCCAGCACCTGCTCCGCTGCCTGGCACCCCACGACCCCCGCTCCCTGCAGCAGTTCGCCCGCTGCCTGAGTGTGCTCCTCAGCGTGCTGCTGCTGATCCGTTTGCTGCTGATCCGTTTGCTGCTGATCCGTTTGCTGCTGCTGCGGCGGCGGCGGCGGCGGCGGCTGCTCTGCTTGTTGCCAGTCCATCAACGGCTCCTGAGGCAGCGACGGCAACGGTGGCAGTGGCGCCTGCGGCGTCGACAACAAAGGCTCAAAATATGCGCCAATCGCCTCTGCGACGACGTTAGAAGGCTGCGGCAAGGGAAGCTGAACCTCCTCGTCGCCGGCGGCGGCGGCGACGGCGGCGGCACCAGCCGCAGCGGAGGATATGGAACCGGCGGCAAGTACGGGTTCCGGGATGCATCCGCCGACGACAGAAGCAGCTGCGGTGGCGGGTAGCGGCGCTGAGTACGGCGAAGGGGTCAACAAAGTCAACCCAGAGATGGATAGGAGAGGGTCTGAAGGGCCACCCATCATGGAGGCGAGGTCGATTCCGTACGTGCTGCCGTACGTGTTGCCGTACGGCTCCATCAAACGGAGGTTGCTGCTGACATCGCAGACGTCTTGCAGCCCGTAACTCAAGGGACCGTTCATTGGGTACAGGCCGCCGCCGTTGACGGCGGCGGAAAGACCGCCGTTAGCAGCGGCGGCGGCGGCGGCACCTGGCGGTGAGGGTGGCGCCAGCGGCGCCGCCACGACGCTGTCGTCGACTGCTTCTATTGCAATGGCGGCGGCGGCGGCAGCTGCCCCCACCCCTACCGCTGCCGCCTCCGCCACTTCCTGACAGTACAAATCCGCATCAACTGCGGGGCAAATAAACGGAGAAAACGTTGCTGGGACGGCACTCGATCGTTCGGTCGGCCCTGGCTGTACGGCTGTGTACGGCGTCATTGGCGTCGCGAAGAACGGCTGGGGCCCGAAGGCGCCGCCAGGTTCTACGAGCGACGGGACGGCGTGC